TTGCCCCGCCTCTACTTTCTGTCTGGTTGACCCGCCTATACTTCCTGCCTGGCCAATCAGCGTTTTATTAAAATACATGATTGACAGAATACAGATAATTCTCCAGCACCATTTCCCTCTTTTTTTTTTAAACAAAGGAAAATACCCATAATCCATTTGTTGGGAATGTGGGCGTAGTATTTCAGGCTACTTCCTGCTGGTTGGGGACGCTGATGATCTTATGGGGACCTAAAGAAAATTTAGAGTTATAATCAAGTCCTGACTGGAGTATCCTGTGAGTCCTGATCATCTCAGGCAGCAGTCTTGAATCAGTTCTGGATGTAGAACTCAGACATCCGGGCCATCTGTTCCTACTGGGGAGTTCTCGGGTGGTCGACCTTTGTCAAACTGGATTTTTCTTAACTCAAAATGAATCCACAGTCTCTCATTTTCTGTGGAAACAAAAGCACAATCTCTTCTCCAAAGTAACATACCTTTTGACTTCAGTTTTGAAGTCAAGGTATTTTCAAAATACCTATCTTGGGTTAGTTCAGCAGCATTTATAAACAAAAGTCTTTTAGCAGCTGTTGCTCCATCCTCAGCATTCAAACAATTCAAAGAGAGCATAATAGCATACAGTATCAAGATTCTTTGTATATTTTCCCTCTTTATTTTAACCTCTATTTCTTCTATTTATACTTTTACTTTTTGAGACAGGATCTCTGTATATCTTTGTCCTGGAATAACTCTGTAGACCAGGCTGTCCTTGAACTCACAGAGTTCCACTGTCTCTGCCTCCCCAGTGCTGGGATTAAAGGCATGTGCTACAACACCTTGAACTCATAGAGATCTGTCTCTGCCTCCCAGGCATTGGGATTAAAGGTGTGTACTACCACACCCTGAAGTCACAGAGGTCAATATACCTCCACCTCCCAAGTGTTGGGATTAAAGGTGTTTACCACCACACCAACTACTTTCTTTCTTCCTTTTTTACTTTAAGAACTTTAACTTTTAGCCTGCATATATTTTTAACACACTGTATTTGAATCTCTCTTTACTGTATATCTCTGTTTTTCTGACCACATGAGTCTTTAATGGGTAGGACTAAAGCCATGGCTTTGACAGTTAGACCCAGCCCATTCCTTAGCTTTCCAGGCTCATGGCTGAGATACCAGCCAGAGCTGTGTTCACTGCTGCAATTCTATGGCGTTTCAAGGTCCTTGCTAGCAAGCAAGCTGCAGCATTCTGCTCACAGACCACACTCAGTCGGACTGCCTGCCTGAAAGAGTCAGAGATTTGCCCTGGCAGGACAGCCCAGAAAACCAGCATTTTAAAACAGCGCAGCTTTTTTCCTGCTATGACTGAAAACCCAAAAGCATGCATTCAGCTTTTCATCAACACAGTTTAAGTGTTTCGTGGCAGGACTTCTTAAAAGAGCTGCAGGGTTTTGCAGCTAAAGCTGAGTCAGGAAGCATCTAAGAGCATTTGCTTGCTTCTAGCAAGCAGAGCAGACCCGAGAAATTGCTGCTACCAAGAAAACATGCTTTATTCTTTCCCAAGCTTTCTCAAGCTTTCTGTGGATTCAGTTATCCACGTCTGGACGCCATATGTAACAGTGGAGGATGGAACTAAGCATGCAGGAGAGGCAGAAGGGATCTCTTCTCACATCAGAGACAGTTAATGGACAAGCAGTGAACAGAATTGAGCTGTCCAAGTACCTTCCTGTTGTCCCTTGGCAGTATGCACGTGTTTCACGTGTTTTAAACAATATTTTTTATTAATTCTTTAAGAATTTCATCCAATATACTTTGAATATATTCACTGCCCCCATTCCCCAACTCTTTCCATAACCACTCTCTCCACTTTTCTATCCCTTCCCACCCAACTTTGAGATTTCTTTTTTCCCCCTTACTTATATTTTTTAATCATTAGACAATCTTTGAGAGGGTTGTTTCATAAATACAGACTAAATTAAAGTCTTCTAGAATAGTTCTCTAGTGTGGGCCTCCAGAAAAAAAAGTTACAATGGCCATTAGCTACTTTTAGGGACTTGTATTAATTACTCTTCTTGGTGGCACTGCCATTTACAAATCAGCAACTTAGGCAACAAACAGTTGCCGTTGTGTTCTCTGTGTTCCGCTTCCTAAGGGTAAGCGTGGCATAAGTGGGAAAGACAAACAAAGCTCCCTCGGGTCAGCTGGTTAGAGTCTAAAATTAAACCATGAGCGAAATGCTTAGGGTGCAATGTTCATTTTGTTCTGAGCGGAGGAAAGCAAGCCAGAGTTTTTGCCTTGCAGGACAGAATTTGTTACACTGATTTGTTTCTTTTCATTTGTCTGGGGAAAACACCCGATTCTCACACAGTTCTAAAGCTTCTGTAGTATTCGAGGGGGCGGAAAAACAAACCTCGCTGAATACTGTGTGCTAAGAGTACTAGGCTTTCCTGGTATGCTCAACGAACTTGCTTATCTCAAACACCAGCTCCTCAGGAAAGCATCCTGAGACCTTGTCTTTCCATCCTCCTTGAAAGGGTTGCTCCATTTTATGACCCAGAGACTCCCACTTTGTGCTGAGGTGACCACTCCATGACCTTGATGACGTGCCAAAAGAGACTTTTTTTTTTTTTTTTTTTTTTTTTTAAGAAAAATCATGGTAGGATTGTATGGACTAAACCCTTGTCAGGAGTACTGGAATGGTCTGTGCTGGTCTGTGCTGGACTAATGAGGCATGGATGTAAATTGTTCCTTCAAACAATGCTTGACAAACCCCTGTAATTCCCTTACATTTTCTCTTTTTAACCTTTCAAAAGACCTTCAAACCCTTTCCAAAGGGGACACATTGTATATTCACCACCATCTGTGCTCCTTGAATTGCAATTCCAAGACCTTCAAATAAACACTTAAAGAAAAAAAAAACCACTTAAAACCTCATCTGCCCTATTTGGATGGAAATATATATTGAAAGTATCAAGTAAATATTCTAGTTGGATTTTACTGAAGCAAGTAAATGTAAGATGTACGGCTGGGTAGTATATTGGTAAGCTCAGAAAAACAAGCCAGCAAGCAAATGCCTGAACAATCAACCACCCTGCAGAGCTACAAAACTTTCTGGTCCGATCACGAAACTTGGAGTATGGTCTGAGTCCTAATAACAGGAGGGAACTGTTGTTTTCTTAGGTTTGGAAATGCTATTGTGGATAGGAAACCAGAATCTTTCTTCTTACGAGAGTCGGTTAAACGACGTAGTTTGATATGTGAAACTTCCTCAAATAGCATAAGAATGAGCACCCACTTTTGTCTGTACAAAATGTTTTCATAAGTACTGATAGCATAAGGGCAAGAAATGGCATGTTTAAAGTCCCTTAGCAAAGGCCCTGGAGCAGTGGTTTCAATTCTTCCTTTGGGTTTGTGGTACTGTCGCTTTTTTTTTTTTTTAATTTTGCTGATGCAGGCCAAGTGTTATTTAGCCCCACCCAGGTACAAAGGAGCTGTTAAGCCTATATTAAACTTAAAATAAACGAAACAAAAATCCTGATCAGTTACAACTGTAAGCTACCCAGCGGGGGAAAAAAGTATAGAACAGCATGATGTTTTGTAGTATTAGATGGTTATATATTCACTTTCTAAAGGCATTATAGTTTGGCTTGCATTTTCCTATCATAACTGTACCAGTGCCTGGTGTTTCTTTTTCATTTTTGCCAATAGAGTCTCAGATAGCCTACCTGGTTCTGGTATATACCCATATCCCAGAAAAGCTTTCAGAGTTTGTTGTTGCTTGTTTTGTGTTTTGTTTTTCACTCATCCACTCATTACTGAATTCTATATACCTTTGTAAGTTACTTCTTGAAATAATTTCAATCAGTTAAGAAACGCAGAATCACAATTTTATAACGTTTGGGCCTTACTCTAAGATTTCAGAAGCCATATATTTAGTAAAGCGCTGCATTTACCAGAGGGCTGACATACTTTTAGACGTAACCGAGCACAGAAGGTAGGCACCGTCAGCACTCAGTAGTTACTTCAGAAAACTAAAACTTGTGACTCTGTAACCAGGCCCTTTAAGTCAAAGTCCATGCTGTGCCCTTTGGTCAGCCGGATCCCTCTGGTTATAGCAACCGTCTCTGGGGTCCAGGAATGCGTTCACGTGACTCCGGTGCAGGGCTCGGAGTCCATCTGGCTGTGGTCCCAGGGCCCTGCCTACGTGTTCTAAGGCTGTGCTCACTTTATCAAGATGCCCTGGAGGCCCCGGCGCCTCCGCCCGCGGGGCAGCGGGTGGCGCGGGGTGTGACTTGGCTGCGGCGGTCGGAGAC